TTTCTAACATGAGCTGAAAGTCCTACTGTGATTCTTGATTAAATTTTAAATGCAAAAATATTCAAATGCAACATAAAATTAGAAAAAAAAGCAGCCTTCTCTGCCTTTAAATTCTTTGAGTGTTATTCATGTCCACTAGCCTGCGACAGATTTCTTGTCCAAAACATATTTCTGTCAGACATTTTTAAAATCTGACGTAATACATTTGATGAGTTTTTGAGTTACCTGCATTTTCAAATGTTCTTTCTCTATATACAAATGATCCCTGAAACACTGCAAGGAGAGTAAAAAAAACCTAATATAGAAATGTTAGGGCTTTCCATTAGTTAATAAAACAGAACCTTTTTCCAGAGATCTCGTTGCAGAATTATCTTCAATAATAAATGTTCTACTAATGATTTTAGAAAATAAAAAAAAGAAAAAGCTTCAGATAGTAATTGGAAACATATTTTATTTCTTAGATAATCTCTTTTCATTTTTTTTTCAAGCTAGAAAACCTTAAACTGATCTATTAAATAGGAGTGAAAGAAGAGATTTTAAAAGAGATCTCACTTGAAGAACAGCAAAAAACATCATGAAACTATGTCTTTATTCATCTGCTTTCTTCTAGTTTTGACTCCATTGTAGTGTTGTTTATTTTTGCTTAACTCCCTTCAGATATAACATTTTCTTCAGTCAGTAAAAATTGAATATCTCTGCTCATATAAGTAGTCATATTAACAAATCATGGTGCAGGTATGGATAGCCTGAAGCATAGCAGCAGCATCTATTAATGGGGTCCTGAATCCACCAAATTCCTGAGGGTCCCCAGCATATACACTTCTGTTTTTCAGCCCACACCAAGGAAAAAAATAGAAGAAATGATAATAAATGTATGCTGCTGAATAAAAAGTTTGTAAGTTAGCAGTGCAAACATGTCTTTATCCCCAAAACAGCTCTGGTGACACTGTGCCAAAAGGAAACCGTATCCTGACACCCCAGAAGAGCAGGCAATCCAGCCTAAGCCAGCAGCCTGCACTCTGAGCTGCCACCCCAGCAACTTGGTCACCTCGTGACCACAATACGTGACCAAGTTTTTTCCTGAACCTGTCACTGTCCTGTCACTGTTATAAACCACTGTGTGCTGAAAAGAGAATTTTACCTGGAACTAAATGAGATACTCGTGGACAATTATCACTCTGTGATAAAGGAGAATTGTCGGCTTACCATGTGAGGGTGGTGGAGCACTGGAACAGGTTGCCCAGGGAGGTGATTGAGGCCCCTTCCCTGGAGATATTCAAGGAGAGGCTCGACGAGGCCCTGGGCAACCTGGTCTAGTTGGGGGTGTCCCTGCTGACTGCAGGGAGGTCGGACTAGATGACCTTTGGAGGTCCCTTCTGGCCTGGGCAATTCTATGATTCTATGATTCTATACGAGATGAGGACCAAAGTAAGATAAAGGTACCTCCCTTTGTACATCCTTTGCTGATCAGATGCAGATTTCACAAAGCCCAGTGACTATCAAACCTAATGCTAACTACCCCAACTCACAATGCTGTACAGCAAGGATACTTGCAAGGACAGATAAACATATTCCTGATTCACAGTCACTTGTGTAAGCACCAAGCAGACTTTTCCCATTATTATTCCTGCTAAGGGGCCTGTAGCTTTTCATTCCAGGTAAAGATCTAAGTGTTTTCAGCCAAGCTAAAATAAAATAAAACAAAAAATAAAATAAAATATAAAAAATTAAAATTAAATGTAAAATAAAACAAAATCAGTGTGGTTTACATCAGGAAACACCTGTCAGCAGTGTGCACTCAAGAGAAGGTCAAGGGACACCTGAAGGAAGCTCTTTGCAGAGAGTGCCTGGTCTTTCTTTAGAGTGGTCCAATAAACCATGATCCCAGCCCAGAAACCCAATCCCTGGGCTCACCAGTTCACCTCTCGCCTCCCTATTTCACAACAGGAGAAATCCATCACCTGTTGCCTACTTTGAAAGCAGTTTTAAAGCTGCAGGCAGTGACTTTTGACCTCACTCCAGCTTATCTGGCACAGTGTACTGTTCACAGGCTACTCAGATTCACAGCTGCAATAAAAGAGAGCCACTCGATAAGCAGCTCTTGGGTTTTCCTTTGTTCAGACACACCAGCCGACGTGATCTGGGGACTACTGCATTATCAGGGTGGTTGCGTAACTAAACAGGGGGTGAACACCATTTCAAAACAGCAAATGAACTGCAGGGTGCAGGTATGAGAAGGTCAAACAGAATCAGCATGGGCTTTCCAAGAAAGAAAAACAGCAAATCCTGCCATGGCAGAGCTTGAAACTAATGGGTCACATTATAAAAAACAAAAACAAAAACAAAACAAAACCACCAAAAAACCCCACCACAAACAGAAGAGGAAATATTATACCTTACTTGTATATTCGCTGCTTGTTCTGTGCTATTTTTTAGTTCTGGTGTTGCCAGCCTTCAGAAGAAAAACCTAATGTCAGAGACAGAAAAAGATTAAGTGGTTGGCTTACAACCAATCAAGCAGGCTTCTCAGTTTCTTGGTTTGTTTCCCAACTCAATGGAAACTTCTCCTGAAATCATACAGGGAATGCTGAACCAATTCACTGACTCCCACAGCCCCTCAACAGGGACCTGCTATCTGTGAGTTCCATGAGGAAAGTCATCCCCTGTATGTGGATCAAGGGATGGAACGTGGAGATCCTGACCCAGAGACCACTGTACGCTGAGGAGTCAGAGATCCACACCACAGTCAGCCCATGTAGGCACAGACTTTGCTGTGCTGCACAGATCCCTTGGCTGCAGGATGAACTCAGCCTTGGAGGCAGCTCCCACTGGGAACCGCTGATCACAATCCTGCCTGGCCGGGCCTTTGACTAAAAGGGCAACAAGAAGTTCTCCTGTGAATGTCCTGCACGAATAGAGTTGTTTTCTTGTAAGAACACTATATAATAGCTTGCGTGTCCAAAAAGGAGGAGCTTTTCTCTCAATGGACAGGACCTGCTTGGCATGCCCTGGGAAAAATCCTCCAGGGCTCCATCTGATGCTGCACAAATGCAAGGTTCCCAGCATCTGAAGGGATGTCAGATTCACTCACTACATATATTCCTCTTCTTATTCTGTCTTATTAAAGCAGTTATCTTATTAAGTCATTTGTTGTCAGGCCTTTCATACCAATATCCAGAAGAACCCTGCACCAGCTTGCTCACACCTCACCCCACCTCCAGGGCAGAACATCCTCACTTCCTACCTGTGCCTTAAAATATAAGTGAGCTTTTGCAACCTAGGCATCTACATTTCTCCTACAGTGAATGGAGAGCTAATCCATACAGTTCATGGACTCTGCAAAAGCAAGTCAGCTCATGTTCAGTCAGCTGAATCACTCTCCAAACTCCACTGGTGATGCTGATTAGCCATCCATACAAGGGTAGGATTACTGCAAGGATGACCACATCCTCATTTGATTAGTATGTACAAAACATCTTTAAAAAATTGAGATAACTGAAAGCCATTTTAGATAGAAACATTGCCAGAGGATCCATCCAAAGGATGACAAAAAAGGACCTTGAGTACTCACTGTGCTTGTGTGCCTTCAGCAGAAGAGAGAAGCTATGCCTGATGGCAATGCTGTTTCAAAATAATTTTCCTTTTTTAACACAATACATTCAAACTTGCTTGAGTTCACCTGGGATGACCTACCTTTTGCCCAAGAACAGTTTTTTCCTGATGCAACCAATACATGTCAGCATGACTGGAACAGCTGGTAACCAGATATGAAACCAGCTATCGGCATACATTTAGCAGCCAGGGTTACTATGCGATTTATGGCTAGTCCAGGGCACGTCATTATCTCTCCCAGTTTCTCATATAGATTTAAAGATAGATAGGGGCTTAAATCTTATCAAGAAACACTACCTCACACACAGTAACCCCTGACCCTGTAATGTCAGGTTAGTTAAGAAGAGAATCTTTCTAGAAACTGCTTTAAAACATAAATGACTGGTTCCATCAATGAAACAGACCTTTAGACATCTATTTAATGATCACGCTGCAGTCCATGGTGAAAATGAAACCAAGTTACTTTTCATTAATTCATTCCCATTGATCCTATGTATTAACAAATAATAAACAGTTTCGCAACTTAGATAAAATATTAGTAAGAAAATGAAATATTCCAAGACACTTGAAATGACAGAGACAAGATAAATAATCTTGCTGGAGCTACTGACTGACATTTAATGTCTTTGCCTGTAAAGAATCATATTTAGGTGATAGATCATAATAGATCATAGAACATTTTGGGTTGGAGGGGGCCTTAAAGATCTTCTAGTTCCAAAACCCCTACCATGGTCAGGGATACCTTCCACTAGATGATAATTCAAAGTATTTTTCCTTCACGGGATTAAAAAGGAGTCCATAAACCAAGCCAGAAAAACTATGCAGCTGTTGGCTGATGCTGTACCTCCTCCTTTGCTCTCCTCACACTCATAGGAGGAATAAAAACTCCGCCCATGCTTTCCTTCTACTTCTACCTGGAGATCTAAGTGGGTGCACAGTCATCAACATAGCTAAGGACTGAAGACATTCAAGTGGGAAAAATCCTCTGGCAAGTTTCTTTTTCCTTCCTTTTTTTTAAAATTCTTTGGGTCACTGCCCAGCTGCCAACCCAACCTCTTGCTCTGCTCAACTAAAATCTGTCTGAAATCGGGTGTGAGTAAACAAGAAAACGAAAGGAAGTTTTTGTCAATGTTTGCTGTTGGGATTGAAATATCTTTTCTCTTTTCTGTCTGATATTTTTAATTGAGATGATTTCTGCAGCCTCCCTTTAAGCAGAAATTTCATCTGACCAAATTTTGGAGCTCTGAAGGTTTACGGCCAAGAAGAGGCCTCCTTGGGAGAAATCCAGAAATGAATAGCTAGTTACTTTAAAACTGTACAATAGGCAGTAGACTTAACTAGATTGATTTAAAGAATTAAAGTCTAACAACCTTTAGTTAATGATCTGCCTAGTGCAGGTTATTTATCTGCAACAAATTTCAATATACGGCAAATACCTCTAAGAGTTAAAAGCTCCAGGAACGAAACACAGAAAAGCTCTGCAAATATTTTTGTGAGTATGAGGCCAAAAGGGTGTTTCTGTTGATTTTCTTTAAGAAGGAAGGGTTGGGTCCTGGATGCTGACTTCAGTGGGAGCTGTTATACTCTGCCTTTGTTTGAATCTCACCTCTGATTACTTTTTATTGCCTTTAAAGGCCCCATACTTACAGTCAGAATTTTACATAAAAATGTTTGGAAAAATGTTTAAAGATGGAAATGACGTGGGTTTTTTTCTCTTTTTGTATCTGAGTAAACAGAGAGATTTTTAGAGATACTGAGAACCGCCAGCAGCAATATACCCAGAATTTCTGAAAATCAAATCCAGCTTTAAAGGAGACTATATATAGACCCAGATAGGCCAAATCATAGACAAATAAATCAGAGGACATGGAATTCAGTCAATAAAAGAGACCTCAAGAATGGATGAGTGAATTTAGGGTTTTTTTCAGAGCAATTATGTTAATTCTAGACCTTTCTTTCTTCATACAGTGCTCAATGGCTCTGGATAAAATGCAAGATTTGAGCCTGAACCCTGTGCTCCGAGCTGACCTAGGAGAAGTGGAAGGTATTCCTTTAACACAACCAATATGCAGCACGTGGGACCAAGTGTGGAAGTTCAAAGCCAGACCTGATGATCTCTTCATCGCAACCTATGCAAAAGCAGGTTGGTGTGGATAGGAAACAGAAAAGTTTGGGATAGAGCTTATTGTTGGAATTAAAAATTATGTTTTTCTATAGTGATTGATATTTATTTAATCCCAAACTAGACATATTTTAAAGACGTGGAGCTCTGTCAGCTGTGACTAGTAACCTCTGACTTCTTTGGCAGAGTAACAACCATCTATTGTTATTGGAGTTCAAATGGTCAAAGTCTAATTACCTATACTTAAATGTTTGCTCTGATTTAGATTATATGCATATATATTAATGGCAACAATTGAAGTTTTCCACCATTAGGTAATGATTTAACAAAGCCTAGTAAAAGCCACTATTACTAAGAAATAATAGAAACTGACTGAACAACTGTGGCTTGTATTATGTGTCTGGGGAATGACTTGGTGTGTAAACCAGTCCTGTTTTCTGGAAACTGGTTAATTATTTGAATGAAATAACCAAATTCACTTAATAATTTCAGCCAATAAAATAAAAACCCCGCCATTAATATTAACTGTCTGGTATTTTATTCAGTGATTGGCTACTTAGCTCACTACTATTTCTCCTCTCGATCAGACCTCTTGTACTTATTACACAGGTAAAAATGAATAACAAGAATAAATTTTAATTTTGGATGAATAAAAACATGCACAGTTTAGGGGATTCAGGAACAGATTTGGGAACATTTGATGATCATAAGAAATGACTGGAATTAGCAAGAATTTTTAAGTATTTTTTTTCAGTAGGGAAAAAAACCCCACATTATTAGAAAGAAAACTCCCATTATTTTTGTAAAAGCTCAAAGCTTTTATTTCCTGTATACTGAAAGCAAAACCACATCATTGTTTTATTCAACCTGAATGAAAACCTCTCAGCTTGTGAACAGAAAAGAAATAAGGTTAGGAGTCTATTTGATGCTATGTTGTATCTGTCAGAGCTGCACAATTCAAGCGTCTTAAGAAGAGTTGAGTTTTCTGCCCATGTTCCATTCCAAGCCATCCCTCAGCCTGTTCTCTAGCTGACCTGCTGCAGTACCTCGGAGGAGATGAGGTTTACCCAGTGATCACGCCTATAAGGGGAAAGAGGCACACGAGAGACATAATACTGTAACTCTTACAGGATGATGCAGTACCTCAGGCAGACAAAATGTTGTACCTATCTTCATTGGAGTATTTCAAATGGGAATGCTGAAAAAACTGGAACTTTATTTTATGTTTTCAAACTGTATTAAATTTTTACTCACTCAAAGTGTAGTTATTTCATTTTTTCATTCAAATCCATGATGAAAACTAATGATGAAATACCTGAACTGTTGTGAGGTTTGAAAATTGGGAGGAGGAAAATTCATTCCTCTCTGCAAATACTGCGATCTCCAAATAGTGAGTTTATCCCAGACCTTCTTTCATGACCGGTGTAGAGATGGAAGCTATTTCTCTTGGCAGGAAGAAGCCTGTCTAAAATGGATCCCCTTAAACCATCATTGTATACTTAACTGTGCATTTTTCCTTTATTATCTTATCTTCTCTTTCTGCTTTGTCCATCATCTTTTGAGTTGTTCCTTCCTCCTTTAAAGCAGAAGAGACTCTTGGCTATCCCTGAGTGTTTATCATCTAAACATCTAAAACATCTAAACATCTAAACACTGACATTTTCAGGTACCACATGGACACAGGAGATAGTGGATATGATTCAACAAAATGGAGATGTTGAGAAGTGTAGACGCGACACTACTTACAGACGCCATCCTTTCCTTGAGTGGTGTCTCCCAGAGTCTTCAGGAGCAGGTTACTCAGGTAAATATTATACAAATAGGTTTGTATTTTAGACAAAATCAAACAAAACAAGAACTCAGTGCTGATGCCACAGGTTTCCTGGGAAAGGTCCTACTTGCTTTATCACTGAAATATACACTGTGTTGGGTATTAGGGACCAGTTTAGTTGTGCTAACATAAACATCTAGTGCTACTGAAGCCAATACTAGGCTGGAGGATGTGACTCGGGAGCTACTGAAGACCACGCTGTTCTGGAGTGGCATCTGAAAGCTGTGTGTGATACTCCGCAGTACCTAAACCAGCAGAAGATATGCATAAAATAGCAACGTGGGGGCAACTGAATCCCGTTGTCTGACTGGGGGCTGTATGGAACAGAAACCTACATTGTGGATGTACTCCCAAAAGGTGGATAGTGTTTTCAGTGGGTTTGCTGCTGTTTTGAGTATCTGTTAAATTCTAGGGTCTAGTCATCTAAACAATCTATGGGGCATTCAGGCAACCAGCAGGCCTGACTGTTCTGCAAAGACAGCTTCCTACAAGAGTCTTCCCCCAGCAAGGGCTCCCGTTCCACCAATCTTTAAGTCAGACTCTCTTCATATTTTAAGCTAAAAAGCTTGACTAACTCCACAGCAGAAGTGCTACTTTTTCTCTTCTAAGCTAGACTGTGTTGACACAGAGAGAGACAAAAAATGATAGAGGATGACAGAGCATGACAGAGGATGATGATAGGAAAAAAAAATGATAGAGGTCATGACAGATGTTTCAAAAGGAGGGGGAGAGGGGACAACAGATCTCCACATATCACCAGATATTCTCAAGTATTCCCATATATCCAAAGCTACTCAAAATCCACTGCCCATCATTCTCCTGTTTTCTCTCTACACAGTATCCAGAAAGGCTAGTCAGCCAGTCTATTCTTCTCATATCTTAGAAAGAAACAAAAATTTCTTATGTGTAAAGAGATCACTAAATATTGTGAAGGAAAAACATTGGTTGAGTAAATATAAATTAGTATTCATCATTATCTCTTGGAATACAAGGATTAGACATGGTTCCAAGAAAGCAAGAAGAAGATATGAATCAGTGTTCCCCCTTTCCTCCTTGGATACATAAGTAAAAATTTCTCTAGATACACTGAAGGTGCCTATGCAATGTATAGCAGTGTATATGTTAGAGTGCTACGTATTTGCCTTGGAGATGAATGACTGTTGCAAGGTGAACTGCTGAAAGGTCACAGTCAAAATCCCACATATCAGAATATCAAAGAAGTGCTAGTGCAATTTAGAGAACAAGTCACATCTCATAATGCACCATCCCACAGGCCTGGAGTTAGCTGAAGCTATGCCTTCTCCACGAACAATGAAAACTCATCTGCCCGTGCAGCTGGTGCCTCCCTCCGTCTGGGAACAAAACTGTAAGGTAAGGCTGAAGTGGTAGGACTCAGTTCTACTCCACCTGGAAAGAAAGTGACATAAACTAGAACTGAATATGGTTTCCAGAATCTTTGTGAAACCTAAAGGTCTCCCCAGAGTTTTCCCTTTAATGTGTAAAGCCCGTGTGAAACTAAAGAAGTCATGACTAAGTTACCTGCATTGGATTTTAGAAAATGGCAGCTTCAAAGCAAAATCTCTTAAGCCTCCATCAGGCTCCAAGAGAAAACTCCAGAAGATGCTCAGTATCTATAAGCATGTGTAAGTTAATTTTTCTCTCTCTCTCTTTTCATATCAAAAAGGTAATCTACGTGGCGAGAAATGCAAAAGACAACCTAGTGTCCTACTACCATTTCCACAGAATGAATAAAGGACTGCCTGACCCAGGAACCTGGGAGGAGTTCATGGACAAATTCATGGCCGGAAAAGGTGATGAATTGCAATCAGTTGTATAAGAGATTTTGATAATTTAAAAAATGTGTGACATCACTATCTATTTCAATCTAAAAGGTAGGTTTCAATCTAAAAGGTTCAATCTAAACCTACCCGGCTTCAAGCTCCAACAGGGTAGGTTTAGATTGAACATTAGGAAGGAATTTTTCACTGAAAGAGTGGTCGGGCATTGGAATAGGCTGCCCAGGGAGGTGGGTGAGTCACCATCCCTGGATGTGTTTAAGGGACGTTTAGATGCGGTACTGAGGGATATGGTGTAGGGGAGGACTTTGTAGAGTAGGGTAGATGGTTGGACTCGATGATCCCAAGGGTCTCTTCCAACCTCTATGATTCTATGATTTCAGCTCTGGTTGAAAATCCAGTGCTAACACTAACAGAAGGGTCTCTACTGAAGGTGTTTCAGTAGTAAATTATCTTCATTCATGGGTTTTTATTAGCACCTAAAGGATGAATTCTATTTTTATATTCACATTTTGGAAAAAAAAATGCTACTCTTTATTGTATTATCATTCAGAAACATATTACCTGAATTTTCAGGCTTCTCTCTAAGAAGAAAATCTCTTCTCTCTGAGGTTAAAAGAAACTGCTTGGAAGCCAGCTGGGAAGGAACAGTGGCTTAATTGTTTTTACTCTAGCCTGGTATACAAGAGCCCAATATTTAATTTTGTGCAAAAGTGTGTGGTGTGAATTTGAGTTAAGTGTATCTTTTTACCTAAATTCACCAATATAAAAATCAAGCATCTGAACAAAACCAGTTATCTAGCTGGCTACAAGACAAGCAACTCCAGAGCTGATTCTTCCCTTTCTAAAAGAGGTACTCATGTCCAAGAAAGAAAAACCTGCTCAGGTGGATGGGAGTGTGCACTTTTGGTCAGTAAAGCTTCCATAGGTCCTTAATATTTTGCCACCATGGAGGCCTCGATATACCACTGTCTAGACCAGTATGAGAGTCTCACGTCTAAAGGAGACTTTCTATCTTGTGTCTGACCAGCTTGGCTTGGGAGCCCATCTGTCCCAGTGTAGACATCTAGAACATAGTTACCTTTGTCCAAGCTAGTCATCTTGACACTTGCTGTAGAGAAACAGGCACTTGTGACAGTGTACCAAATATTTAAACCAGCTAGAATCACAGAATAATGCTAGTTGGAAGGGACCTTTAGTGTCCATCTGGTCCAACCCCCTGCTCATAGCAGGGACAGTTAAGATCAATCACTCTGGAAACATCTGTTTCTCTCCATCAACTGTAAAGACAGCCTAGATTTTTCATTCAGGGGTAAGCATCTACATTTGTTGCGCTCTGAAGTTGCACATGAATCCTGCTCTTGAGCATCCAGGCACCCGCAGGATTAATGGCATGAATGCTGTGGTAAGCACAGAGCACAGCAGTCACGGTCACAGTGATTCAAAACCAGGTGGGAAATGCCCAGACACTCGCTACTGGGGAAACGAGAGTGCCACAGGCAGTTTGGGTATTTAGAGCTGCTGCTGATGTTATTCTTTTTTCAGTGCTCTGGGGTTCCTGGTATGACCATGTAAAAGGATGGTGGAAGGCAAAAGATAAGCATCGTATTCTCTACCTCTTCTATGAAGATATGAAGGAGGTAAAAGACTGAACATATGTTTATAGAGCTCTGAAATCTGGAAGTCCAGTAGATACAACCTACAATCAAGAGTTTTCTATTATGATGCCAGCAGTATGAGTAAATCTTTCAATAATCTTCCCACCTTGACAATTGCAACTTTAACACTATGTTTGACTTCTTTGCTTTTCCTGGCTCTGTATCTTATCCCATGTTATTCTCTCTGCAGAATCCAAAGCGAGAAATTCAGAAGATTCTGAAGTTCCTGGAGAAGGATGCGAATCAGGAGATTCTAAACAAGATACTCCACCACACGTCCTTTGAGATGATGAAGGAAAATCCCATGGCAAACTACACTAAGGAGCTTCAGGACATAATGGATCACTCCGTTTCCCCATTCATGAGAAAAGGTACTGAGGTTTGCTTCTGGCACCAACTGTGTCTTCCTGGCTGTGATTCTGTTTTGAAATAGGCCTTGAAGTACAAGTATCTACTGAGTCATGACTAATGGGCTTCAAGAAATAGTGGTAAATTAATCTTTTTTCTTTTTTTGCTTTGCTGTTTGTAGGGGTTGTCGGTGACTGGAAGAATCATTTCACTGTGGCACAGAATCAGAAATTTGATGAAGATTATAAGAAAAAAATGGCTGACACCTCACTTGTTTTTCGCATGGAATTGTGATTACTAACAATGGAAATTATTCTCTATGATCTTCACCCTTTTCCATTTTACATTTTTTGCTTTTCCTTCACAAAATGCCTGTTCTCCTAGGATTCAGTGTCTTTCTTTCACATACCACTGATTTTTTATTATTGTGAGAGTGCCCAAATTATGCGGACATCTAAGTCTCCCTGAAGAAAATAATCCCACTGGATACTTCTCATTCATCCCTCCCGCAGTAGCTTTCAGCATTAACAAAAATATTTCAAATACGCTTTGAGGTTTTGTCTTTGAAAAACTGCAGTTGATATTGGTGGCATTTTCAAATCAACCTCTAACAGAAATTAGGAGCCAATAGGAAAAAAGTTTTAAAGGAGTGTAACATGTGTGGGCATTATATGTTATTCACATGTTGTACAAACATTAATCAATAAATAACAACAAAAAAATTTAAAGGTGGTCAAGTATAAACAGAACAGCAGAAGTGCATAAAGTAGAAAAATTTTCTTTCTCTCTTGTTTTAAGCTGGACATCATAAATGCCACTGAGAAGAAAGCAACATTTCCAAAAACACCAGATACCTATTACTTCCTTTGTTGAAACTTGCTAAAGGGCCACAAAAGTATTTATTTGAAATCCAGCTGTGGAGGCAGTAGTCCCTATTGCATCAAGACGAGAAGCTTTTACCACTGTTGCCTTTTGAAACGGATAGCATAATCTGTTAATATTTGGGGAACTCTGAAAGTTGGTATGAACCAGGTCAAGAGTCAATGCTGCATGTACCGTCTCCCTCTTTTCCACTGTTGTAAAAGCATCCATCAGACGCACCATGTTTTTACTTCCTCAGTTTCTTCACTCTCTCCTGATCAACCAAATACACAAAGATCCCAATGAGGGCTCTTAGATGTAATAGGGCCCAGCTGATACTGCCAAATAAAGATCTGCTTTAGTATTAGCACGAGCACTATAGCCACACTTTGAGCCTGTGAGAAATTATTTGAAGCTATTCATAGCCCATAGACAACTATTACCAATCCACTTTTGGTTTTAAAGTGCCACCATTGAACTTGGCATGCAAAAAAGTCCCCAAAGAGTTCCTGCTTAACTGCGTTTGCACTCTGAATGTCAGAGGGAAAACAGCACAGACTACAGCTGCTGGAGGAAAATACTGTCTTATTCTTATTTAGTCTCACAAAAAATGTTTACTGGGAGTATTTTCTCTTTGGCCTGTGGAGACTTCTAAGGATTTAGTAATAAGAGCAGCTGACAACACACAGAGTCTGTTTCAGGCTACTGATTTAATCTAAATATCTAAAATGAATGCAGTTCTCTAAAAGGCAGCAATATCTTGCATCAAGTTTGGAAACACACTAAAGGCTTCCTGTTAAGTGTAGAGGTTACATTGCCAGTTCCTGGCCGTCCAAGTTTCCCCCCAAAATGCAGGAAACTCTGGAACTAGAAACAGGCATTTGCTACACTCCTGTCAAGGTAGGCATTTGAAGAACTTCAGGTCAACAGAGATTCCTGCCCACAAACAAAGGATGTGTCAGTAAATTGAGTACCTGAAAAAAAATCATCTGGAGGAGGCACTGCTGTTCATTGCAGCAAGGCTAAATAAGCCTGAGGAGCTTTCAGCTACTTGTTTGTTTTTTGTTTATGATTAACTTGATTTGCTATCTCACTATTGCCAGTATGAGGAAAAGGTGTTGCCCGCTCTCTGACAGACTTCCATTCTCTTGGGTCGCTCCATGAAACCATGTGAGTCAGCTCCGTTTGTCAATCTAATCCTCATTCGGTGTCATAAGAGCCATCAGTAAATGGAAAACATGCTGAACTCAGTAGCTTGGTGACATTTTATGAGCGGTGCTGTACAAAAGGTCGCAGAGATGACTTATTTGTTCCTCCTTTGAAATCTCTGAATGTATCAGAAGTGCAAAGTGCTGATGGTGGATGAAGCCTGGTGTGAAACGGAGCTGCACAGTCACTGCAAGGACAGAGGGACCATATAATAAAGGGCTCCTATCATGTTGGGAAAAGTCACCTTTGCTCTCGCTTCCTTAGGTAACTCTTCACCCAGCTGCAGTTCAGCTGCCCTGAAAAGCAGATAAAAAGTAACACAGGTCAGAGTGCGCTTTTAGAAAAAAAAAGGAGGCAAACACTGGATGTGTGGTTACATAAAAACCTGTGTTTTCTTACGCCGCTGTTAGTACCCTTAAACTTTATGACATAATATAGCTGGCAGGGGGATAGAAAACTGGAATATTTCCCTTTTTTATGATCTCTCAAGCCACCGTAGCTGAGAGAGATCAATCTGTTGATTCAGCCATAATTTGCAAAATGTAATTAATTATACCAGCAAAAAAATGCAGGGAAGAGTGAATTGTCACTAGTGAAAATTATTGGATCTGTAGTTACTGGAACAGTTTGGGAAAGGGGTTAATAGGCTGTATGCACCCCCCATTGGCCTGGAGACTACCCTGGTTTGGTGTCTATTATGACAGTATGTCAGCAGAGATGTGCATATGCTTCTGGGTAGGTGACTGGAGGGTGCCTACATCTAGAGAGCCTTTAACTTACATATCTTTAGGTTTGTCAGTTGTTATGCACAAAAGAGCTTTAAATGATGTGCTATACAGAGATGGTTTACTAATACCAACCTAAGTTGGTAAGACGTTTAATTTATTTTTACATAAGTCACTGTAAATCAGTGAGCACCTGCAGAAGGAGACTGACTTGTTCAGTGAATTTTTTTTCAATCAATTTAAGCTATTGTCAAGCGACTCTGTTTACTATGGTGACAGAGCTCCATACAAAGCTCTCTTAGACATACACCCTGCAAAAGCACCGATGCTTTGTTTTCATCCAGCTACCTAGACACATGATTTTACTAACCTTTTTACATAGATGCAACTTCTTCTATATCAGTTTAAAAAGGACTTGTGCCAATTTACCTAACGCAATCCCACAGGAACTTCTTCAATGCTCCTTAGTCTCTTCTTTTGTAAGACAGTGGACCTGTAGAGTTTTGATAGTAGAAAAACTTTCTTACTCATCTCTAACAAATGTTTGAAAATCAGAGTTGATTAATACACGTTAACTGTTCACGTGGCTCTGTTTTGTAGCTCTGCATGAAAGCTACCAAAACAAATCCTCCCACTCCTATGACTTCCTGCTTCGATACAGACTTTTGAACAGGAACTGCTGTATTAATTCTAGGGTAGTCACAACCGTTTTTTATGTTGACTGTTGACAGCAACTAAGTGAGCCATTTTACTTTCACGTGGAATGCAACTGTTTATGAAACACATTGGAAGAAGCACCAAGCTTCAAAAAATTAAAGAAAGAGACAGAGAAAGGAGCTGTTCTATCTTCTTAGCTAGCATTCAACAACAGAGGGACACTGCTTTCCTTTCCACCAATTTTACTGTATATGATCTGCCTCATGCTTGGATTGAAAGTCCCTGTTTCTCCTGTTAGGAAATAGACCGCTGACATGAAATAGTTTTTATTTAATTTGTCCTATCCATATAGGATATGGACATTCTACCCTATAATATATGCATTGCATATGTTTTATATTGCTGTATGTCAACATGTTTGCAGAAAACCTTATCTTTACAACAAGGTTAATTATTAATTCTGGAATTTTCCAGAGATGCATTAGCATTGTATTTTAAGCCTGGACTGAAGCTTCCATTTCCCTCACGTCCCCGATGAGTGAGGCAAGCCCTGTCCCAGTGCCAGCTGTAGGTGAGCCTAGAGGCACACTGAAAGTTAAGCCCTTCATCCTCACAGGATGCAGCTATGCTGCCAGACCTAGAGCTTAGGCTGGATAACAAGGCTCTACCTGCCCTCCAGACCAAGCACAGACTTCGGCACTGTGTAGGTGGGCCAGGAATGTTGCCATGCAGCAGCGTCCCACGGTTAATGTTGAAGAATTATTTTGCAGAAGGGCTTCGGCACAGCCTGCTGCAAGGGCAGTTGGTATTTATCAGCAGTGTGAGCTCAGACTGCCTTCAGGACTGTGTGAAGGCTCACAGTTGAATTATGGCCACCTACCACGACGATGGAGATGGAGGATTATGTCAAAAGCAAGCCACTCTGGGTCCTGCTTGGGTACAGGCAATAAAGGTATAGGTCGTGTTTTGGGTCAGACACATAAAAATGAAGGTAACTAATTAACAACTTTCTTAATTATTAAAATTGGCTCCCTTGATTCACAGTAACTTGTTATTGCATCAATAACTCTCACTGATCTATATTTGCTACTCTCTCTGTCTGCAGGTAGAAGCGCTTTCATGTGCTGTTAACATTGGAACAGTCTTTTGTAGCCAGACCCAACCCTAAGTGCTCAAACAGAATGCTAATTTCCTTGTTTGTTTCACGCTTATCTTCCACCCTAAGCCTGTGGCTTGGTGGCCTTTGCAGATGAGTAAGAGAACACCACACTCCTCACCTCTGTTTTCTATTGCAATTTAAGACAAGAATTAGGGATTACGTATACAATTTCTTTTTCTAATACCTAACCAAATCCTCCACACTCAAAGTAGTATTGAGATAAATACAATGAACAGTACTGCCCTCGCATCTTATTTACTCATATAAACAGATTAGCCTCCCCTTTCACACTTTCTTAACTTTTTCACTCTACTTGTAGCCTCTACTTTTCCACTGCAGTGGGAACCTGCTGAACCTGAACCCAACCAAATAAAATGGCCATAGTCGGCCAAAGAATTTACGGTTCATTTGCACGGGGCAGGGAGAATACTTTAAGTCTCCAAACAGAGAATAGTTAACATACTGTAAATTCATACCCTGCGTTCCTTGATACTAATTTAGCATGTTGAAAAGCCATAAAAGTAGCTCAAAGCAAGAATGCTGACAGGCCCGGCACGGTTCACAAGCAAAAGAGTTTGTGATCCCCAGAACCTGTTGGGAAAGCAGATTCTAAAGTGGCAAGTATTTAAAGCATCATCTCTTGTACGCGGGAAACACATTCCTTGGTTGCAAAATTACAGTAATTTTCTCATTCTGTGCTCTTCAGAAAATTTCGACAGGTCTAACAATTCCAATGATGGCGAACAGGCATTAGTGCCATGCCTTGATGAAAGGACTAATCACAGCCCTGTGGTACTTGGCCTCAATGCAAGCAGGATGCAAAGTTTGTTGTGCTCTGTCCCAACACGTCTCATAAACCACTTGGCAATCTTGTTTTACATAAACAATGCTATTTAAAAAGACGAACTAATTATCTTTTACAAAGATAATAAAATTATAGAATATACGGAGCATATAAATCATTCTTGTTTTTCTCACTTATCTTGTCCCAAATTAGCTGCACGCAATATATATCGTCTTACTGGCTCCTTCTGGATAGGTAAGACGTAGAATTAAAAAACTGTTTAAGAAAATTATGTAAGACTCTTGCAGGTATGAATCAACATTTTTTTCCCAG